CTGCAGTAAAAAAATAAAATAGAAATGTGTTTGTGCAAGGATATACAGAATACTCTTTCAATTAATTGTTCATCTTTAGCATTCACCTTCACACTTATATATGGTATGAATGTAGTGATTTTACCTAAAGTAAGAATTTTTTTAAATGTATATTTTTATTGATTTTAGAGAGAGGAAGGGAGAGGGATTGAGAGATAGAAACATCAAAATGAGAAACACCAATGGGCTGCCTCCTGCACACCCCCTACTGGGGATCAAACCTGAAACCTGGGGCAGGTTGAAGTAAGAAATTTTTAAAAACTGTATTTGTTGCTTTTAATGCTCATTTCCCCTATACATTCTTTTGGTGGATGTTGTTGAACATGATGCTTTTAGGGGAAGTACTGATCTGGCTTCATGCTGTGAAGAAGTAGGGCTGAGGAATACTGAAGCTCCATCAGATGAAACAGAACAAGCCTAGCCTGTCTTTTTTGTAGGTTAATTGCTTATATATTGAGGAACAGTATTTTTGTCTAAATTTACATTAATTTTAATCATCTTGTTATTCTTTAAGTTAAATATTTAGATCTCTTTTATTGATTAGTTTATTAGCTTTGGAAATTTGATATATTTTTTAGCTTAGTAATTTCCACAATGGGTAGAAACTTATTGGTATTACTAGTACCTGAGAAGAAATTTGAAAATAAACATAATTACTGATTCTTCTCCCACCCCAGTATGGTGGGGGTTGTATATTTTTTAAAATCTTCTTACATCATTCTGGTAAATGTTTTGCTGCTTCAGTTGAGAAGGAAGTTTTAATAATTTGGTAGACATTTTAGCTTAATTTATATCTAGCTTTTTTTGCCCCCTACATAATTGAAAGGTCCCCTCTCCTCATATAAAGTATCTCATTTTGCAACACATAAACAACTGTACAGTGCTCTTGAAAAAGAGTTTTTAAAAATCTAGTTAAATCATCTGCCCTTCTACCTATAGGGAGGGGCTCTGTGTGTTTAGAAGGGGAAGCTCAAGTTCTTTTTCCATGTCCTTTGTGATATCTCACTTGTTCATTGCCCTTTCAGTTTATATCTTGTGAGTAGACAGTGATAATGTCAGAGTAAAATAACACAAATTAAAGAAACAACACATTCTAATATATAAAAACTCTGGGTCCGTCACATCCACAATGTTCGGAGGCTCGATCTAAAGCCCAGGCTGCTCATGCAGCAGGCTCTGGTGGGAGGGGACTTGTGGCAGCAGAGACGGTGACGGGAGAGGCTGGCCGAGGCTGGCCGACCTCACACTCACAACCTCGCGCATGCACAGACACACATAGCGCCCACCAGCTCACAGCCTTTTCTCCCTTTCTTTCCCTCCCTCCCAGCTCGCTCTTGGAATGAGGAAACAAAACAGACTGGGCCTGAAGAGGCCTGGATAGAAGGGAGGGCAGGCAGAGTGTGGAGCCACCCCCACTGGCCCTGCCCCCTCCCAGCCAGGAAAGAGGAAGAGGGAGACTGGGAGGCAGGCAGGGAAGCAGGGAGGCAGGTAGGGAAGCCTGGAGGACTACTGAGAAAAACAGAGAGAGACAGAGACTGGATGAGATCATGCAGCAGGGGAGGGCAGTTGGGGGCAACCAGGCCAGCAGGGGAGGGCAGTTAGGGGTGATCAGGCAGGCAGAGGCAGTTGGGGGTGAGATTAGGCCGGCAGGGGAGGCCAGTTAGGGGCGATCAGGCAGGCAGATGAGCAGTTAGGAGCCAGTGGTCCCAGTTTGGGATGTCTGATTGTAGAGAGTGCAGGCTAGGCTGAGGGAATCTCCTCCCCCAGTGCATGAGTTTTATGCACTGGGCCACTAGTTAAAAATAAAAAAGCCAAGGTGGTTCAATACTACAAAATGAAATGGGTAGATCAGTGTATTTTTTTCCTTCTCATCTTGATTCTTTATGTCTGCAATTGACTGATATGCAATTATTTTGGGATAAACAAAAAATGGAAACTACCTCTTGAATAGGAAGCTGAGGCTGCAGCAGTTACCTGCCCCATGCTCAGGTTCCAGCCCCACATAGATTATTCATTATTCCTGACCAGGGCTGTCCTGTGTTCTGAATGTGCTCTGCAGCTTGGCGTGTTCCATGTCCTGTCTTCTTTTAAGTCCTCTTGCTGCAAGCACCAGTTTCCTCCTGCTTTCTCCAGGCTTGCTCTGGGTTCTCTTCCTTCTTAGTCCTCTAAGGTTTTTCCCAAGCAGACAGAGCCTTCACAGGGAAAAGTAGATTTTCCTATTACTAGTGTTCGTTTAAAACCCAAAACAAGTAATTTGACTGTTTATCTTTCTCCCTCCCCAGAATTTAACTAGAAATGAGGTGGTAGAAGTAGAACATTTACTTCAGAGAAAAGTAACAGGCTGGAGGCTTAGCAGTTTGGGGGTGGGGAGTGGGGTGGCATTTAATGTAGGACAATTAACCCTGAAGCCCGTACCATCAATGAGCAGGGAAGAATGGGGATCCAAGGACCGTGGCCCAGAGGGACAGGGCATCATAAGGATCACCTGAGCCTTTCTGTTCACAGCAGTCCCCTATAGACATTGCAGAATATAGTGCAGTTTAATAACCTATGTGCATAGTTGCAGGTAAGTAATACTTGTTTTCATTTTACTTAAATAAGTATCTTAAAACCACAGTATTTCTATTTAAATGGTCAAAAATTTAAACATTGGTGCATAAATTTATCTTTTTATTCCAAAGTGTGTCATTCCTTAAAAAAGTGAGATAAATGATACTGACCAAGGCCATAAGGAGTGGTGATATACTAGATAATAGGTACCCTTAACCATCTTACTGACATATATCAAACATGCAGAGCTGTGAAAATGATGAATAGTGTATAAATAAAAGGCAGTATTTATTTAGTTCAGCCCAAGTTGATATTCTGAGAATTAATATCTTAAAGCACTTTTAAGTACCTTTCTTAGGCTTTTCATTTTGCATGTTTCCTAAAACCCAGCATTTTACAAACATTGATCTTGAAGAAACAATGTTTTTTAATTAATTGAAGGACAATGTACATATAGAAAAGTTTATAGATAAATATATATTTGATGAATTTTCAGCATCTAGAAACAGAACATTATCAGAAAGAACCCCAGAAGCTCCTATCCACTGCCCTCTTCCCCATACCCTGCATCTCTAAAGTATCACTGTCCTGATGTCTAATAACAGTATTTAGTTTGAAGAAATGGTGTTACATTTAATCTAAGAAGTTTTGAAGAGTTCTTAAATGAGCTTCCAGTAAAGAAGAAAGTGCACGAATATGAACTTTCCCTTTACTGTTTCTCTTTCTGAAGTACGTTGGGAGAAGCAGGATTGAATTAGAACAAAGTGCCTAGGCTGTGTGTTTGGGTCTGAACTTACTAAACTACCTTGTTTGTAGAAAAGATGGAAACTATTCTTTAATTTCTGTTTTGAGGAGAAACAAATTTTATAGCATCAATTTCTTTTCTGCCTTTGTCTGGCTTCAAAAGGAATTACCATACCATCTCTATATTTAGACTAAAGGCCTGTCTACTTTTGGCATTCTGTCATCTGTCTTATTAAATCAGTACCCTGATTGAGACTTATTCTCGGAACTTATGTAAGGTATGAAAGATGAGTTGTTTTCTTTACACACTTAAATTCACACATTTCACGTTGGAATTTGGAATTAACTACTCATGGGATACTTAAAGTTAACTCTTTTTCCCATATAGACAAGAGTGATCAATAAAAAGTGATTTGGATGGACTTTGCCAAACCACTGGCTTTCTAGTGTGACTCTGCCTATTTTGGTGTTCATTGCAATCTAAAAAATTTCTTATGATTTCAGTCAAATTTTCATCTTTTCTTATAAATTGGATGGTCTTAAGCTTTTGCTATTTGGAGAAAAGAGCTTGTGAGAAAGAGAAATACCAAGCCATGAGACTTGATCCCCAGCTAGGACTACTAATTAGGAGTTCATCTGGTATAATTTTACTGGATTTCTTTTTATATGTTATGTATTCTGGCTATTTGAAAAAAAATTGTGATAAAATAGGCATAACAAAATTTACCATTTTAAATGTACAATTGACTATTGGTTTTTAGAACTTTTATTCATTCATATCAGTTTTAGTCAATAGATATTTAATGGGGAATCAGTTGTGTGCCTTCTGCTGAGGTTGGTAGAACATCGGAAAATTATGAAAGAAATACAAATATGGTCCCTGTTCTCAAGAAGATTAAGCCTCATTAGGGAAACAAGATATATGTATAGCAGTTAAATAGTAACTCATGGTAGGTAAGGCCTTGAATGCTCAAGAAAAACTTTGTGTAAAGATGAGACTCAGCTTGGTCTGAATCACATCATATCCATTTAGTTTGAGAGGAAGGAGGAAGTGGGGAACTAAAATAGCCCATTGTCTTTCAGAGAATCTTTTGCTTTTGTAATGTTGAAGCTCTCACTGTTTTGTTTTTAAAATAAGCTGAACATTTGGAAAGGGAACACGTTATTAGCACATAATTTATATTTTTAAAAATCACAGAAACTGCTATGCAGACATTATTAAAAATGCGGATGTATAGTGAAAGAAGGGTTAAACTTATTATAATTCTATGCAAATATCTGTGTTCATGCAGCATTAAACTTTTCAATATATTACCGCTTGGGAGTAGGTATTTCATTAGTGAGCTTAAAACAATTGAGGTTTATTGTTTTTATGAAAAATGTACAAAAATCAGCATGTAATGAAACACATATTTACTGAAATTAATCTTGAATGTCTGCCATTTTGCTAATCAGGTAAAAAGTTCAGAATGGGTGTATTTTGTGAGTAAAGAGTGAATTATGATTAATTGTGAATGATCTTGTATTGACACTTGATGGCAAAAGCTGCTGCTGATTTTGTTAGTATATCTATATTGGGTCAAGGATTTTATCTGGGCTGGACATAGTGTCTTAAACAATGAGAATTATGAAGTTGAAACAGTATGTTTTCTTTGTTACCTCTGCAGACAGGCAAGCCTACACTTGGGACCCCCATGCTCACGTGACATCAAGAGGAAACGGAAGCCTGTGGCCACAGCATCTCTGTCTAACCCAAATGCAGGTAATTATATCCTAGTTATTATATGTTGAGCACCTGATACTGAATTATGTGTTTTATATACCCTTCCGCCTAACTTTTATGATAAGATAGGCCATTTTATTCCCATTTTATGTGAGAAAACAGAGAATGTAAGAAGTAATTTTTCAAGGTTACACATATTTTAAGAATTTAAACCCAGTTCTGTCTGACCCTGCAGTCTGTGTATTCACTGTGTCGCACAGGTTTCTTGAGTTTGAATCCCTATATTTCAGTAAAAATAATCTTTAGTCATTTGCACTTTTTTTTCTATAACAGATAAGAAATTAGATCTCTGTTAATGAAAATCTCAGTAGGGTGGCATTTAGTCAGTAGGCAAGGAGCCACATGGGTTTATTTACTTTTTAATTTAGTATACAGTACAGTAATTCTCACTGTTTTTATGTATAGTAGAGTGCTAATATTTTACCTATCATGAAATTCCTAGTAAAAAACAGCTTTTCAAGTTAAAAATTTTAAATTTTCTGCGAAAAACTAGTTGGTAGAAACCAAAATAGTGGTTTATCACTGGTGACCAGGAGAGGACATAAAAAAATCTCTTGGATGCCGAAAATGTTCTGTATCATGAACTAGGTGGGGATTACATGAGTATATTCATATGTAAAGATTCACTGAACTACATACATTTATGAATTATGCACTACCTACATCTATGTTATTCTTAAATGAAAACAAAGGGGGATAGTTATTTATATTAGCTTATTTGTTTTTAAAATAAGCTGAACATTGGATGTCTGTAGATCTTTTTCTTTGGGGTTAAGGGAAAATAGTTAAATGTAATTAGTAATCATAGACAGTCCTTTAGGTTATTTCAATACAGTTTAGGATGAATTACTCTGAATAAAAAGATCATATCTGGTTATAAGACCTATCAGAAATACCTACACTTCTTTTGTTTTTCTTTCTATCTTTTTATTATGTAAGTTTCAGGTGTACAACATTATAATTCAGCATTTATATACAATATAAAGTGTCCACCCCCAAAAAGTCTAGTTATTATCTGTCACTGTACAGTTGGCTTCCTTCCCTCTTTCACCTATCTTCAGTCCCCTTCTCTCGTAACCACCTACAGTTCTTTTCTTTAAAAAAAAATATATTTAATTGACTTTTTACAGAGAGGAAGGGAGAGAGAGAGAGAGCTAGAAACATCGATGAGAAAGAAACATCGATCAGCTGCCTCCTGCACACCCCCTACTGGGGATGTGCCCGCAACCCAGGTACATGCCCTTGACTGGAATTGAACCCCGGACCTTTCAGTCCACAGACCGACACTCTACCATTGAGCCAAACCAGTTTCGGCTACAGTTCTTTTCTTGATGATAATGACTTTGTTTTGTGGAAATTGAGTATATCATAAATTATTTTTATTTTCTTCAGAAAAGACTATATATTATAATAAAGTATGTATTTATGTATATTATACATAGAGCAGAGCAATTAATTGTTGAATAGAGAGTAGACCTGACAGATGGGGAAGTCTTTCCCTTACCTTTACTTAGTTAATTTCAGCATGCTCTGAAATTGACCTCTTCAAGCTTCTGTTTGATGGTTTTGTTTTGTTTTGCTGTTGTTAATCCTCACCTGAGGATATTTTTCCATTGATCTTTTAGAGAGAGTAGAAGAAAGGGAAAGACAGAAACATGGATGTGAGAGAAACACATCTATTGGTTGTCTCTTGCCTGAGGCCTGACCAGGGCATAGGCTGGGGAGGAGCCTGTAACCAAGGTTTGTGCCCTTGACTAGAATCTAACCTGCGACCCTTTGGTCCACAGGCTGAGGCTCTATCCACTGAGCCAAACCTGCAGCTTCGGTTTGAGAAGACTGCTTGATAATGGGTAAGACTAAGATTGTCTGCCGAAACCGGTGTGGCTCAGTGGATAGAGTGTCAGCCTGTGGACTGAAAGGTCCCAGGTTCAATTCCGGTCAAGGGCATGTGCCTTGATTGCGGGCACATCCCCAGTGTGGGGTGTGTAGGAGGTAGCTGATCAGTGTTTCTCTCTCATCATGGCTGTTTCTATCTCCCTTCTCCTTTCCTCTCCGAAATCAATAAAAATGTATTTAAAAAAAAAAAGACTAAGATTGTCATGATAATGGATAATCTTAATCACAGGTCTAATGACTATAGTAAATTTTTTAAGTGATTTCCACATAGCCGTCCTAAGCTAAACCCTTTGCATACATTATCTCACTTACTGTTTGCAACAACTGTATAAGGTGGATGCTGCTTTTATTTCCAGTACACATAAGATATTTGAGCCTTAGAGAGGTTAATCAGTTCCCCAAGGTCACATGGTTGGTACATTGCAGAGCCAAGGTCAGACTGGTTTCCCTATGACTCTAGAGCTGCACTCTTGGGTCTTCTATAGGATAGGATTGGTTCCAAACTATGACTCTGCTCAAAACCCAGGTCCTCATCCAGTCTGTGGTATTGGAAGCACAGTCTCCCCTGTTTTACCTTTTTGTTCTTTTTTTCTCTTTAATGTCCAGCTTCTGTTTTTTGCTTTTGTTTATAAGAGAACTGTTGAGAAGAATTTAAAATCTTTATTCTGTATTCAAATCGGGAAATTTTCTGGGAAGTATTAAACAAGATTTGAGCATTAAACATTTCCCTGCTGATCCAAACTCCTCCCCTCACTTGTTGACTAAGGCTTGGTTCACTGAACGTTTTCTTTCTTTCTTTTTTTTTTTTTTTCTATCCACAACCTGAGTGCCCCATGGAGGTGAAGGACATAGCCTGAGCCCACACCATCAGTCAGTAGAACAAATGGGCTTGCTCTGCCTAACACTGGGCCATCTCGGATTCCACCTCTTTTATAGAAATGACTGATGAAGAGAGGTGCGTTCCGCTTTGCCGCTGTATTAATACACATCAGGGGCCAGCTCTTGGCACTAAATCACGCTGCTGCATACATCTGTTATCGGATTCTTCACCAGTGTGATGAACAAGACTGCAGATAGAGGCTTCCTTGTGTCATTCTTTATAGGATTTTCCTAAAAGAATAAATAGCTCACATCTCTGCCAACACTCTCCCCTGTCACTGTGATGAATTCAGCTTCTTTCTTAAACATGCAGCCACAAATCTTTCCCCCCTTGCTCCTCCTCCACTGGTGGAAAGTTTTGAGTTGAAATTGACTGAATTTAAAGATATTAATAAGGCTATAGAGGTGCAGAGCAGAAAAGACTAGCGTGCCCTGCCTTTTTGTACTAGTATTAACAAAAGGCCAAAGAAAAGGATCTTTTCATAAGGTCATTGAGTAGATCCTTCTTGAAAGTATAGCATTTTTATTTTCTTTTAACATCCACCCCCTTTCTCTTGATGGCTTTATAACCACAGGTGCATGGGGCACAGAGCCACCATGGATCTGAGTGAGTGACAGTATAAACATGCTTGTAGCACCCAGAACATCAGAACAGGAAATGCCCAACATGTCATTACCTCATGCCAAAGTGAATTTGCTTTATATTTTCTTAATGTAACTGAGCCCTAATCAGTTTGGCTCAGCAGATAGAAAGTTGGCCTGCAGACTGAAGGGTCCCAGGTTCAGTTCCAGTCAAGGGCATGTACATCTGTTGCAGGTTCAATCCCCGACTCTGGTTGGGGTGCCTGTGGGAGGCAACCAATTGATTTGCGTTTCTTACATTGATGTTTCTCTCTTTATTATGCTAATCCACTGATTGGATTCAGTAGTTTTGTTTTAGGTTCACTCTTGTCTTGGGAGACATAGGGCAGATTCTTATTGCCCACTAAGCCTTTTTAAAGTTTAAATGGTTTTTAAAGTTAAAAAAAATTTTTTAGTAAATATTGAATGGCTATAAAAGAGCATTTATAGAAAATATATAAGGAGTAAAGAAAAATGATATAGCAAATATCCATGTACCCACCATTGACTTTAAGAAAAAGAACATCACCTTTAAAATCTTTTTTCTACTCTCCTTAGAGGTAACCATTATCCTGATATTGGTTATCCTGATATTTGTTAATCACTTAAACATTCTTTGATTTTTAAAATAGTTTTAAGACATATAAGACATATGTCTTAAAATAGTTTTAAGACATATCCCTAAATAGTATATTATCTAGTTTTGACTGTTTTTAAATCTTTTTTAAATAGAATGTCATATTTTATAATTTCAAGTTTTACCCAGTTATGTTCTTGAGATTCATTCATGTTTCATTCTGCCATATATATGGTGTTATATTATATGAATAGGATTAATATACTACAATTAAACATTCTTGATGGACATTTGGATTGTGTCCATTTTATGCTATTGTGAAAAACAGAGCAGAGCCTTTGGTGTACAAATCTCCCTCCTCTCTGTGAGAGAACAATGCAAGAGTCTTTTTCTGGGCCACTTCATACTCCTTACGATGGCTATATAACAAACAAACAGGAACAGCAAGTGTTGGGAAGGATATGGAGAGATTGGAACCTTAGTGATTACTGATGGGAATGTAAAATAGTGCAGCTGCTAAAGAAAACAATATGGTGGTTCCTCAAAAATCTAAATATAACTTTTTTGGCCAGAACTACCATCTGTATACACTGAGTGGCCAGATTATCATGATCTCTGAACACATAATAATCAGGCCACTCAGTGTATAACCTATATATAATATGCAAATTGTTCCCTCCACCAGGAGTTCAACCAACCGCCCATGTCCCCTCCCCCTAACAGGCTGGCCAGACCCTATCCATGCATGAATTCATGCACTGGGCCTCTAATACACACACACACACACGCACACGCACACGCACACGCACACCCCAGAGTGGCCAGATTATTAAGTGTTCAGAGATCATAATAATCTGGCCACTTAGTATATATAAAAGGCTGTCACTGACTGGTCACTATGACATGCACTGACCACCAGGGGGCAGATACTCAACTCAGGAGCTGCTGAGCTGCAGTGACTTGGCAGCAGTGGTTCTTGGGTGACACACCCTGAAACCCCAAATCCTCGTGGGGATTGTGCAATTCCACCTTTGGCCGTGAACTATGTTGTTGCTGGGGCACTGTCAGCCTGAATCTGGTTTACTGCACACTAGCATTTGCCTTCTACACCCTGTATGACAGCAACTTTGTAGAGTGCCCTGTTACACTCCAGGGCCCCTCAGGGGATGTCAGAGAGCCTGTTTCATCCTGATCCCTGCAAGCCAGGCCGAGGGACTCCACCTGCTGGAGGGACCCTGCTCAGTGCAGATGCTGAGGAGGGACTTTGGGAGGTTGGCTCCAGGGCATGTCTGGTCCTTCTCTCCCAGTCCCACCCTGCAAGCCATGTTCTAATTAATTGCCTTTCAGTGTGTACTAATCCGTGCACTGGGTTACTAGTCTTCCAATAATTCATTAAAATGACTAACACAAAGCAGAAGAGGAGAGGCACCTGCTATAGGTTCTCTGGGCCTTTCATAAAACATGGAGCTGTTCCTCTGGCCTCACACATGTGAATCTACAAGAAAGGTGATACTGCAGACATCAAAGGAATGGGCACTGTTCAAAAAGGAATGACCTACAGATGTCACCATGGCCAAACTGGAGGAGTCTACAGTTACCCAGCCTGCAGTGGGCATTGTTGTAAACAAACAAGGGCAAGATTCTTGCCCAGAGGATTAATGTACACATTGAGCATATAAAGCCCTCGAAGAGCTGAGATAGCTTCCTGAAACGTGTGAAGGACAATGATCAGAAAAAGAAGGAAGCCAAAGTGAAAGGTTCTGGGTTCAGCTGAAGTGCCAGCCTGCTCCATCCAGAAAAGCACTTTGTCAGAAGCAGTGGAAAGGAGCCTGAGCTCCTGGGACCCATCCCTTATGAATTCATGGCATGACAAGTGCAAAAAAATAAAAGACCTCTGTACTGTTAAAAAATAAATAAATAAATAAATAAAAATATATATATATACACACACACACACACACACACACATACATATAAACATATAAACATACAGTCTAGCAATTCTGCTTCTGCGTATATACCTGAAAGAATTGAAAGTACGGTATTCAAACAATTAGCTATTTATACACTCGTGTTCTAGCAGCATCACTCACAATAACCAAAAGGTGGAAACAACTCAGATGTTCATTGCTGGATAAATATATAAGCAAAATGTGGTATATTCTGTATACAGTGGAATACTATTTAGCCTGAGTGCCTTCGTGATTCAGAATGAAATAGCATGGATGAAGACATTATGCTAATTGAAATAAGCCAGACACAAAAGGACAAATATTATATAGTTCCAGTTATGTGAGCTACCTCGAATAGTCAATTCATGGGAACAGGAAGTAGAATGATAGTTGTCAGGTTGGGGAGAGGAAAATGAACAGTTTTCATTTAGGATGATGAAAAAGTTCTGGAGATGGATGGTGGTGATGGTTATGAAATAAAGTGAATGTACTTAATGCCACTGAAATGTATGCTTAAAATTATTAAAATGATAAATTTTATGTTATGTATATTTAGCCATAATAAAAATCATGTAGCAAAGAAAAAGTTTTTCTAGGGTAAGGTTTTGCACTGGTTAATGACCATAGAGTAATGTTAAATATAGCTTTGTGAAATTTTAGTTAAATGATGAGTTAGTGTGTGTATGAACATGAGAGAAAGAGAGAGAGATTGGATTGATTTGTGTTGTGATGTCAAATGTATTTCTTGCTGATGTGATCTGAGGTTTTAAAACATTTGAAAACCACTGCCCTCAAGAAACCCTTGTACTTGCGCCATAGAATAATAGCTTGCATGATTATTTTTGTATTAACTCCCTGTAAGGAATTTATGTTTGAGTATATATGTGGGCATATATATATTAAACATATATATAATTAGACCGGACAACTAAATGAGCTTCCAGATGATAAATTTTGTGCATCGGGCCTCTAGTATGTATATAAATTCTTGGGTACAATCTGATATTTTTTATTCCTTTTCATTAAGAAGAAAAAGTACTAGTCATGACCCACTAAATTGATCTTGTGACCACAATTTGAAAATTACTGTTCTAGGTTACATTCCAGGAGTGGAGTTACTGAATGGTAGGGTAAAAAGCCAGTTTGGGTCAGTGGATAGAGCTTCGGCCTGTGGACTGAAGGGTCCCGGGTTCGATTCTGGTCAAGGGCATGTACCTTGGTTGTGGGCACATCTCCAGTAGGGGGTGTGCAGGAGGCGGCTGATTGATGTCTCTCCCTTATCAAGGTTTCTAACTGTCTGTCTCTCTCCATTCCTCTCTGTGAAAAATCAATAAAAATATATTTTTTAAAAAAGGAGCTTTCTACATTTTGCTTTTGGTTGGTGTATAGTCACCATTGGCACAGTGACTGTGAAGGTGGTTTAACTACTCTGCTTAGGGACATTTGGAAATGTGAGGACAGTGTTTACTTGTCCCAGTGACCAAGGAGGGAGTACTTTTGGCATTCAGTAGATAGGGTCAGAATGGTAAGTGTCCTAAAATATACAGGGCAGCTCTGCATAAGCAATTACTATTCTGTCTAGAATATGTTTTATGTTCTTTTTGAAAACTGGGCCTGATTGTGTGATTTTCTACCATTTTCCTTATTATCACACTGTTTATTGGTGACATTGTCATGGAGTGTGACAGAGGGAACATAGGGCTTGGAGTCCACTATCTGAGTTTAAATCTTACTACTTAACCAGCTCTGTTTTGTCCCTGAAAAATTTATCTGCCCTCTGTATGGCTCGTTTTTTTATCCGAAAATGGAAATGACAATACCTACTTCTAAGAGTTTGCAAGAAATAAGATTATGAATGCAGTGTTTACATAATACAGTGCATAACACGTAAGTGCTTAAGAAGTGATAGTTACTACATTATGAATTTGTATTACTGAATTTGCTTACTTGTTCATTTAAACCCATTTTCTCAGGTAGAGAAATGCTTACCTTCGTTACATCTGGACTCTATTTCTTTGTAAAGAAAAAAGAAAAACCTTATGTGGCCACTTGGGTTAGTAGGGCATAAGATATAAGGATTGAGAATATTTGGGGTTGAAGAATCTGCTCATTCTAATTTGCCTCCCCTGGATTTTCCCCCTTTATCCTTTTATTGCAGCAATCTCATCAGTTCCTGCGGATGTGATGGAGCCAATCGCACCAGTGCCACAGGCCCCGAAATCTCCCAACACAGAGTGGCTGGTCAGGACCTCGGCCCCAGAAAAAGCCGCCGATTCAGCTGCAGCCACATTTTTTAAGATGCCACAAGAAAAGAGTCCTGGATGCAGCTAGATAGCAGTAGATCGTCCACCAGGAGCCGGCGGGTGTTGTGAAACAATATTAGATTTTGTGTTATATAGTCTTGTATATCTCAATTGATATTCCCAGTCTGTTTATCACTAGGACTGGCTCCTTTCTCTTCAAACAAAGCAGTGGACTCTTTCTCTTAGAAAATCATATTGTGGAAATCTGTGTCTTTTTAAAAAAGTAAAGTATTGGGGCAGCAATTTTTTAAAAAAGTCATCCTATGCTATATTTGTTATTGCTATTGCTGTCTCAGCAGTTACCTATATCTCCTGTTACAGAACTGTTGCTTTTTTGCAGGTGTGTCTTTTTTTTTTTTTTTTAACTCGTAACTGCTTTGCATACTTTATGTGTAGAGCTTTTAATATCACTTGAGAAAGTTCCAAATTTGCAGTCAGTTCCAGACAAATGTAAACACTGAGTTAAGACCTGTGTGTGGAAATGTGCTTGCAGGAGACAAGGCTTGCCTTTCAGCCTGGCCTTGCTTTACTCACAGTGCCAATCAGATAAATCCACCATGGTCTCAGTTTGGAGCCTCAGAAGTGACACCAGCACCATGGACTTGGGGTCTCCTTCCAGTCTTGTAGCTGCTTTGTACTTTGCCTCATCTCCAAAGTTGGTGTTCTATGGAAAGAGAACATTTTACACACACACACACACACAGAGAGAGAGAGAAAGAGAGAGAGAGAGAGAGAGAGAGAGAGAAGGAGGGAGAGGGAGAGAGATGAGGTAATGAAATGGTTTAACTGTACAGCAAACTTAGAATAGTCAGTGGATTGTGTCTTAATACTTCATGTTGCAGTGTAAGCCTTTACATATTAAACGGGATTTTATTGTTAGTTTACAGGTCAATAACCTGCAGCAGATATTCATACTATAATTCATATTATAATAATGGCTTCTTGGGGTTATGCTTTGGGGAGGAAAAACGTCTTTTGACATGCCTTTATATTTGCCATGTGTGTGACAGCTGAGCTGCGTGTAGAGTTATGTACACATCCATGCCTGAAGTTGATGCTCTTTTGTCAAGATGAGGAATAAGGGACTGCCTAGAGCTACTGAAGGAAGCCACTCTTTCTAGAGAAAAGATTACCCAGAGTGTCTTGCATTCAGGGGCCTGGTTGATAGAAGGGTTCTTGTTTTGTACAAATTTAGTACATTTACTCTGAAATATGCAGACATTGGTCTCCTAAGTGCCCACTGCTCTGGCACTGTTCTAGGGGATGCCCACTCTTGCACCTGAACTTTTCTATGCTCCAGTAGGTGCTGAGTGGGACAGAGCTTCCTGTCCCTGAGGGGCAGGTGCCCCTTTCTCTCACACTGAATATGATGGCAGACTGCTTTACTGTGTCCCCGAAAAATTTTAGCCCTTGGCAGTGATGGCTCCAGGATTTCCTCGTCTGAGGGGTTGGCGTGAGTCTAGTTGGAAAGGGGGCTTAAGCTAAGTTACGTGGCACTTTATGTAAGATTGAGACCATGTCAGTTGTCCCTAACAAGGAATAGGGTGGAGGGAGGGTACATGGAGACTGTGGGGTGAGGAGCAGTGCTAAAGCCAACACGGCATCCTTGTTCTCATATGGTGGGAAGTGTACTGCCCCCTGCAGGCTGTAACCCAGCCATGGAGAAGGTGGAATGTCTGATGAATATAGTATGGCACTACTGAATAGTGGTGAAAGTGGATCTTACTGTCATAGGTGCATTCTTACCTAGTCTCCATAGTGTCCCGCTTCTAACATACTTCTTTTGGATTTGAGGGGGAAATCCTTGGATATAATTTCATTTTCTTTGCATTAAGCTCTGTGGCTCATGCAGAGATTGGTCCTGTGATCATAGCCTAGTAAGACCTCCATAGTTCAGGTAGAATCTTTTCTTCATGGCATGTTGCCTGACAGTTCTTTCTACCTGTAACTAAATAACTTATATATACAACTTTACATTTCAGACATCTCTATGATGTAAAGGCAGGTGACTGCTGCCATTTTACAGAGACAAGAGCAATCACAGTTTTGTGACTTGCTCAAAATCACATAATCAAGCCAGTATTAAAATCCCAGACTTTCATACGTTCTCTGCCCTGGATTTTAATCTCTTGTTTGTCGTTGATAGACCTGAGTAGCTCTGAAACCCATGTTTTTGAAACAGTATGTGATGGGGTAGCCCACTTGGGCTCCCGTACCTGCTGTCCACCTGTGGCATGCAGTTTTTTATCCCTCAGTAAATTCTGTTTCCGAGAGATAAAGTGATAGAGAGAGAGACAGAGAGAGAGAGAGAGGGAGAGAGAATAAACAGTATGCCATGGATGTTGATAGTCTTTCTTGGGCATGCTTTTCTACATATTTCAAATACCTTCAACAAGGATCACCAAAAAATGTCTTATCTACCTATAATAATTGCGGAAGAATTTAATTGTCCAAGAAAATAGCAATTAAGCACATTAGTACTTTGCAACACAAGTTTTTAAACTGTGTTCTTGTAAGCTGCTTCATGAGCCTGCTTACAGAACTATTAACGAATTCTGCTGGTTTTCTGTATGTGTCAATTCCAAAGGAACCTTAGAATTGAGTGTATTTTGAACCTTAAATTTTAAATCTTTTTTATATAGCAAACTATAGGATGTCATAAATTAAGAAAAGTCTGTTATCTTTTAGCAAAAGATACCATTTCAAAATCAGGTTTTGTAATATTTAAAAAATAATTCCTTTTGAGGTTAATCCTTGAGCTTACATGTATTTTATCTGCTCGAAAGTAATAACAGGCTGAGTTCCATGTTCTTAGTTATTTCAGGGTTCTGGATTATCCTAAATGGCTACACACCTGCCTGTCTGAATCCTAATCCTGTGTATTTTCCAAATTATCAAAAGTCAAGACATCATCTACTACTGTCATTCATAAAAGTTAGTTTGCTTATGAGTTTAAGGGAATTTAAGATTATTTTTCAGATGCAGTGTTTTAAAGGGAACAACTTCATTTGCATCACAACTCATGTTGCTTTTTTATAAGAATTGTTCAGAAGAGGAAATTAGTAGCAGTTCAAATGGTGCCAAATTTGGGGACAGATTATAGTCTTTCATGGTGCGTGCTTTTAAACTTGAATTCTTTAGAAATCAAATGCATTGTTTTGCTGGGTTGTGAAACAGGCTGCAAACAAGGGCAGTTAAGCAGCAAAATGACCAAAAGCTTAAATAAATCTAACCTGTGCTGCTTATGGCATCTTTGGTGAGTAAAACTCCACACCAAAACAGGGAATGAAATTCTTTATGAGTCCCAAGTAGATTAATCTGATATGTCTTTGCATTTTAGAATCAGAAACACAGTTGAGACCACAGCAGTGGGAGTCTGTTGCTACAAAGTAAAGGAGCAGTTATCACAGAAGTCGCTCAGAAAAGGGAGCTAGACTGGCACTGGCACTGTTGATGTGCTTCTGAGCCATGTGTGTTTTGTTCCCGGGCTTTGTAAAAACAGCATTAGGGGCCATAGTATTCTGTGTCTGGTGAGCCCTATCTGGGCTGGGATGAGAGCAGAGTGGCTTATTCGGCCAGCTATGGATGTAGTCTAGTTAAGGGCATGGCTTGCAGGATGTGTCATGGTTTGGGGATGGCAGGAGGAATGATAGAAGCGGTTTTCGCTTGCTGTCAGCTGCTTCCTTTGCTAATGCTCCAGCTGTCCATTTTACTTGTCAGTATTTCCTTATCTCCTACTCCAGTCTTGACAGTGGAGTTACTGATGGTGGCAGCAATCAAGAGGGGATCCCACCCATCCAACACTGGTACAGAGGGATGAGGTGAGGAAAGTGGTGGGTTCCTCCGGTAGCACCAATACAAAGTGGCCCAGAGATGGATGCTTTCGCCTACGTTAAGATCACAACAAATGAATGTCAAATGCCTGGGAACAGCAGCATTGAACAGTACCAAGGACAAGAAATGATATTGCTCAAAAGTGTGGATTATAAGGTTTTTACCAAATCCAGCACAACAAACGTGACTAAGAAGAAAATTTCCTGCCACCTCTAATAGATATAGGCACTTAGTAAAATTGCCAAATTTTGGGGATAAAAAAATATGTATATATATCAAAGCACAGTATTAAAGAATGGGGTATGTCCTAAGGATGTTCACCATGGAACAAACTTGGCAAGGTCCGAAGTGAAAAGGCAAGGGGAAGAGAGGTACATGCTTACGGTAGTGGTGCTCACCTGCCTGGACCAATGATTGCAGCTCACTCGGTCCTCGTAGACCCACTAAATCTGAAACAGTGGGAACAGCAACCTTTTACAAGCTTTCCAGGGGACTTTGGTGCAGGTTGATGTTTGAGAACCACATGATTTGCCAATTAAAAACTTAATATACCAGTAACCCCTGAGCTCTGAGGTGTATTACTCTCCATAAGAAGAGAGATGTTGCCCTGGCTGGGTGGTTCAGTTTTTTGGAGTGTTATACCACCAAAAGGTGGTGGGTTGATTCCGGGTCAGGGCATCAAAACTCTTTAGAAATCAATTCGATTTCTAAGAATTGGCTAACCCTGGGAGGAGTCGTCTCTCCCCAACCAGAAAGGTTTCTTAAGGTGTCAAAACATCATATACCCAGGTTGAGGGTTCAATTCCTGGTTGGGGCAGGTACAGGAGGCAACCAATTAATGTTTCTCCCTCTCTAAAATAAATAACAAAAACAAATCCTCAAGTGAGGATTTAAAAAGTAATGAGGTATTTTGTGTGTGATATTTTGCAACCACTGTTAATGTATTTTTTTCCCCATAACCTTTCCCTCAAACTCCTGAAAAATCACCGGGAAATATTGAGAAAGGATAATGTGGAGAAAAATGCCATCAAGGCCAAATTTCGATGGATGGAAACAATGTTTTAAAATATAAGTGGATTAAAGTATAACCATGAATTTTTAGTCTGTGAGTGAGAGTCATTTTTCACAACAGTAAAACATTTGTGTAAGATGCTACCATTCATGACTGTATGATTCTTGTTCTTTGTCTCTTAG